TAATAATAATAATAATAATAATAATAATAATAATAATCATAATAATAATAATAATAATAATAATAATAATAATAATAATAATAATAATAATAATAATAATAATAATAATACTAATAATAATAATAATAATAATAATAATAATAATAATAATAATAATAATAATAATAATAATAATAATAATATTAGTAATACTACTACTACTACTACTAATAATAATAATAATAATAATAATAATAATAGTAATAATAATACTAATAATAATAATCATAATACTAGTAATAATAGTAATAATACTAATAATAATAGTAATAATAATAATAATAATAATAATAATAATAATAATAATAATAATAATAATAATAATAATAATAATAATAATAATAATAATAATAATAATAATAATAATAATAATAATAATAATAATAATAATAATAATAATAATAATAATAATAATAATAATAATAATAATAATAATGGGCTATATGCCAAACACCCTTCATTTTGGGATTTTAATTCTTGATAAATCTTTTATTTATAAGGGTAAATGACAAATAGGCCCATGACAAGGGCACTTAATTAAAAGAGGGACATCCAACTTTTTTGTCTTTCAAATATATCCAACCAATTCAAACTTATTTGCAAATAAGGAAAATCCCTATATATATACCAAAATTACCATCAATTCATTGAAACCCAATTCAACTCCAATTTCATTATTTACACCCCAATTTAACTCAATTTCATCTATTAACCAATTTTAATCCTAATTTCAATTTTGTCCCCAATTCTGACCCGCCACCACCGGAGACCGCCGATCGCCGTCGTTGACCGGCGTAAACTCTTTTTTTTCTTTTTTCTTTTTTTTTTTTAAACTTTTTTTCCCCCAAATTTTTTTTCGGCCGGTCAACAGCCGTTGGCCGCGCGCGCTCTCCGGCGTTGAATTTTTTTTTATATAATTTTGTTTTTTTTTTAAATATTTTAATTAATATTACTGTCTTGGCTGCTAAATTACTATCTCCGGCAGTTACTTAACTGTCAAGGACAGTAATTTAACTCTAAAATGACTTTTTTTTTTCTTCAAAAATATTTTAACTAATATTATTGTATTTGCTACTAAATTGCTGTCTCCGGCAGTTATTTAACTGTCGGTGACAGTAATTTAACTATTAATTGATTTTTTGAAAAATATTTTAATTAATATTATTGTATTCGTTGCTAAATTACTGTCTCTGGCAGTTATTTAACGGTCGATGACAGTAATTTAACTGTTAATTGACTTTTTTTATTTTTTTTTTAAAATATTTTTAATTAATATTACTGCATTTGTTGCTAAATTACTGTCTACCGCAGTTATTTAACTGTCGAAGACAGTAATTTAACTGTTAATTAACTTTTTTTTTCTTTTTTAATTTTTTTTCTTAAAAAAAATTATTTTAATTAATATTACTGCCTTGGCGGCTAAATTACTGTCTTCAACAGTAATTTAACTGTCTTAGACAATAATATTAATAATATTGCTGTTCGAGAAAATAATATTCATAATATTACTGTCCCAAACAGTAATATTACTGTCTGAGACAGTAATTTAGTAGTTAAGATAGTAATATTAATTAAAAAAAATTTTTCTAAGAAAAAAAAATTCAAAAAAAAAAAAAAGTCAACGCCGGAGACTGGCGGTCAACGGTGGTTGACTGGCCGAAAAAATTTCAGGAAAAAGAAAAGTTTTCAAAACAAAAAAAAAAAGTCAACGTCTGAGACCGGCGGTCAACGCCGGAATCTGACCGGAAAAAAAAATTCAGAGAAAAAAAATATTTTCTGAAAAAAAAATTATTGGGGGTTAATGTGATATATTTGTTTAAATCCGGGGTTAATGTGTAATATTAAAGAAGTTAGAGCATAATGGGTGGAATTGATAAGAATTATATTATGGAGGGTATTTTAGACTAAAGACATGGGGATGAGTTTAATTGAGAGACTGATTTTTTTGTGAACCAAAATCCATTTAAGTCCCATGTGATGGGCCCGTTTGCCGTTCGCCCTATTTATAAATGATATTTGAGATAAATTTAATGAGCCTGAAAAACCATATATGCCCCACTAATTATTAATTAGTATAATTATTTAATTTAAAAAAAATATACCCATAATCTACACCCAAATCTTCTCAAAAAATTATTCCTCTCATCACGGCAATTCAGTTTTTTTTTTCCTTTTCATTTTTATTTTGTTTAATAGTTTTCTTTATTTCGATTTAAAAGAAAATTTTGTAATTATTTTTTTTTTCTATTTTCGGTTTTTTATTTTAAATTATTTTTTTCTTATTTATATTTTTCATGTTTTGTAATTTAACTTAAAAAAATGGTTTTATTTTTATTTTCGTTTTTTCATGGTTTTTCTTTTTTCTTAATTTCAATTTTTTTTAAAAAATGGTTTTTTTTTTTTAATTGTCCACTCTATGTAAACATGAAAACCCACTATGTATAAACAGCTATATAAACATGAAAAACCATTATGTATAACAATTATATAAC